CAGAGAAAGGCCAATTGGTGAGGAACTTGGGGCTGGTCTCGAGAGAGGGAATGATAGGGAGTCTGAAAATGTGTCAAAAGAAGATCTAGCTGCTGAATCTCCGTGGGATGTTAATGAAGAGAAGAGTGAGAATCACGGTTCATCCACTGATCACGAGCCTCTAACGGAATCTATCTTCAACTTCCATGCTGCTCAAGAAGCTCTTGCTAGTGGTACATCCTTCTGCTTAAATGATAATATCAATTAATCATGATTTGCCTCATAAATTTGTTCTTGCACATTCTGTATGTTGCACTAGGTGGCGTCTTTCTAGATGGATCAATATGCTTAGAGGATGGTACTTATGTTTGACACTTCCTATTTGGGCGTCATTCAAGAAATATATGCTAGCATCATCTAGGAACAATAATATCAAGTTTATTAGTCAGTGAATCTTTTTTTAGGAGGTAGCATTTATAATCCTTATATTGTGCATATCCCTAAAGAATCATTTGGAGATGGGCTATGCGTTCTCCTCTTCCAGGAGGTATTTAACTGTTTATATTTGGTTATCATGCTGTAACGTGTGTGCATATCAGACCATGGTGTTCTTTTCTTTTCTAAAAGCAGCTTTTATGTGCCTAATGTCATGTATTTTACAATTACTATTTCTTTTAATTTTTATCGGTATAATAACTTGGATTATACTATGAACGTGTTTCTGTTAGCAATAGCGGATTTCTTGAGAATGTATTTACAAATACAGAGACCACTTTCAACTTAAATCATGTCTAGCAAACCTTTGATAAAGTGGATCTCATGCTAACTGGAAACAGTCTACATAAGCTTATTAACTTTCTATTTCTGTTTGGACTTGAAACCACTTCCTTCTCTGACTCACCGTTCACACAAGTGCACTTAACTTTCTTTTATCTGCATCCAGACCCTTTCATTCAAATCTGTTATACCTGCTATAGGATGTTCTTGAGGTGTTAGAGATTGTAATTTGAAGAATTTAATTTCTGACTGAGAGAAAATAAAATCAGGATATCAATTCCACCTCCTTTTGTTATGGAAGAATTATGCTTATTGCTGAATTTGTTATTCAGAGCTGACCTTACAGTGTAGTAAGTTAGCCTCACTGGTAAGAGAGCCATTGTCATCACATTTGGGACACATGGGTGAGGAAGGCCTGACCATTTCTCAGCAAAAGAGGCCCTCTCTACGAACAAGGTACTGTTAAGATGGATAGGCTTCTAGCTCCCAGGGTTGGTGCCTTGTGTGCCTTGAACTATTTTTTAGAGGCTTCTTTGGGATTTCAGCCTGCTCCCACTCTATCCGAACGCCTCCTGTCCCACAAGGCTGTAGATAAAACAAATTACAGAGAAGCAAAAGTCATTTTATGTGAAGTTGAGAGTCTTGGTTAAAATAGAACTTTGTTTCTTGCTTTTGAAGCATTAGATGGACAGGTTTAGGTGCTTGCCCTCCTAGTTTAGTAGTGTAATCCGTATCATTGTCATATAAGGATAGTTGGTTATAGTTGTTGGTTTTGTTTGACGCCAGAAACAGATTACAAGGGAAGTACATATTATATCATTTTGAAGTAGTGGACCAGTTCCCTTTCTGTGAACGGTCTTTTTTTGGATGAGCTTTACTATGTCGTATGTTTGTACTATGCTTAAAGAACTTCTACTGATCTGTTCACTGAATAAGTATATCCATTGATTTTTGGTTGTTCACAGTCCATATTCCTTTAGCTTACCTTGTCGTTCTTTCTAATTTAATCTGATAAACCATGAAATATTCTTAAAAAATCATTGAATTTCTTATTATCCGTGCATTGGGACTAATTTTATTGATTTACTTTCTACACAGAAATTCAGAAATTCAAAGAAATAGGGAAAGATACTAACTTTGGTCATTCACTTGAGGATGTTGGTATACCTTCAAATTTCACGTCAGATGACTCAGATTTTCCTAGATCAAGCACATCCGTGCTGTCACAGAACAGAGATGGTGCTCAAAGTTCTCTTAACTCCTTGGAGTCTGAAGTGTATAGCCTAAAGCAGAATATATTACTGTTGCAAAACCAGGTTCAGGAGGCAGCTGACCTGGCTAAATCCAAGGAAGCAAGAGTTACTGAACTTGAAGCCATTTTAAGTAGTAGCTCAAAGAGTGAAGAAGAGACTACTGAAGGTGAGTTCGAGAGTCTCTTCAGACTGAAAATTGAAGCTGAAGTTCAGTATGTGGCATTGTCAACAACAGCACAAAAGTTGAGAAGTGCAGCAGTATATCAACTTACCCTCTTGGAAGAACAGAAGACACTAGCTTCAGAACAAGCACAGATGGTGCACGTGCTAGGAGATGCCGAAGCAAAGGCTGTAGTGCTCAAGACACAAACCAAGAAGTTGGAAACTTACTGTGAAGATTTAGCAAGCACTGCCGAAAAGCTAAAGCTACAGAAGAAAGTCTGTAAGTACAGTTCGTGTTTTTTCATACAGTTGGTGTTGTTGGCTGTTGTTGTTGGACTGTTTCTGATGCAGATATCTCCTGATCATGCTGAACTTGTACCCACCTAATGTTAGAGAAGTTTCTTTCTCTCTCTTTTTTTCTTCCACTCCCTATTATCAACATCGTCATCCTTCAATGTTGAAAGTTAGATTAGTTTGTTTTTTAGATGTCTATAGATAGCTGAAATACCTACTTCTCATTTTGCTGAGTCTGTATTCAAGGGTAATCATAGAAGATGATCCGTTTTTTGCTTCTGTAAAAGGCTGTGCACTTTGAAGTTTTTTAACCTGGTCTCATATCAATACGACTTTAGACATTTCTGTTCGTGTGTGATGAACTATGTAATGGTCTAATTGGATTGTTGGAGTTGCAGAAACCTATACAACTTCAGACATTTCGGTTTGAAGTTGAAGCAAAAATGGTATGCACATGAAACATTCAACCACATGGTTGTTGAAGCTCATGTAGAAAAGCAAGCCTGAACTTCAGCCATACGAAACTTGTCCATGTATGACTTAAATGGTGATCCCGAGATCGGGTATCTGGCACATACTTGGACCTAACTATGTCTCTTATCCATGGCCTATTTTTAAGATTGCTAGTGTTTAAGTATGAAAAATATTGAAATATTAAAGTAGATAGTAAATTACAGGTAGTTGATCAGTTATGTATAATTTTCCTTCTAAGGAATTACGTGTGGTATTTTTTTATTTACTTTAGAAGGAGAATACAATCTGGCCACTGACATGTGAACCCATTACTACAATGTTTGTTTTTCCTATCTTATTATAGTAACCTTTTCCTCTGGTATACTTGCTTGAACTACCATATATTATTTCCAACTATGTTATTTGACTGGACTATAGAGCCATTCAAATATACTTTATACCTTAAAAGGGTTCGTTTAGTATGATGGATAAGCGATAATTAATTTTAGGATTAATTTAAGGGTGAATTTATTTCATGCTTGATTGTGATAAAATGGCAGGATAAGTTATTCCGAAATAACTTGTTTCCCAACTAAACAAGCTCTAAAGAAATTAGATAAATATTCTACTTCTTACTCCATGGATACCTAATGATTATTTGGCCCTAAACAAGTCTTCATCATTGATCATGTCACTCCATTTAAAACATTGCTATACTTGATAAAATATTTTTTTTTCTTTCAAAAATAACATTTCATTGTCAGATTGAAATTCAAAGTTTATTTTTATCCTTAATTTTTACGAGTTCAAATTCACGAAATACAAGTCATCGAGAAGATTTGTGAGGAAAAAACAAAAAGTTGTTCTCTCGTCACTTTTTACTTTTTAATTGTTAAACTACATGAATTCAAGTATATTCTTTTACCATTGATATCAAGAAACATTGCAATTTATAGTTGTTTTTGTATAATTTTTTGAATATCTAAAATTTTAATTTTAAAAGTTTGTACATATTAATTTAATTTAGTTTTAAAGATTAATTCTCGACATGACAACTATTTAGACTCATATGGAAATATAGAAAATTGAAATATAGCATTAATATGTGGATTTGGGCGGTGTGAATAAGGCATGAATATGATCGGATCAAATACTACGAGTGAAAGAAATACATAACTAGTAAATGACTACTTAATTAAGGTAATAAATGACTATTTTCCATATTCAAAGTAAGAAATTAAATGCACACGGTAAAATAAAATAAAATTTTTGCAAAGAGTTTTGGTAAGTTTCATACTCTTTGACAAAAATCTACATTTAATTGGGTAAAGATTTTTAGTAAAATGAATGGGAGAATATCTATGAAGATAATTATCACTTTGAGAGTTCAAAACTATTTGAATTCACAAGAGTTTTCATTTGGTTAGGATACTCTCTTTCTTTTGTTTGATTGGTAGACGAATCTTAAAAGATTTACCTTCTAAACGCATTTTACAAAATAAATCATCAATAACAATCAACATAAATTAGAAAATATAAAATATTTATTAGGAAAAAATATATATACTCGACATGTTTAATCTTTAATTAATTAAAATATGTATTTTTTAATCACTTTATTAATTAAATAACTTACATTTGACTATAACAATATATTTTTTGTATATGCAACCTTATTCATGTTTTATCGATAGATCACTTAGACTCAAGTTTAACCTCATGTATACATGAATAATTACATAATCAAAATTTTAAAAGTATAATAATTACCTCAAAAAATAATAAAAATTTACAAAAAAAAATAAAATAAAAAGAAGGTGATTACACATTATCTGTTTTTTCCTACCCACGGCACGCCACAGTCAATGCCTCAGTTGAGAACGTGACAGTCAATTTTCCACACATTAGCAGTTTTAGAATGACTCTTCCTAATCCCTTCCCTCTCTTCCTCTTCTTCTTCTCATTTTCTCATATTAGTAATTATCTCTGCGTTTTTTAAGCTCATGAATTTTTTTTTTCCTCGCCATGACTTTCCTTTTCAGCTAAGTTACCTCCTTCTCATGAGCTCGTAGTTAACATATATATTTTTTCTATAAATTTTACTGTTTAGCTACAAAATTTGTTTATTCGCTTGTTATTCAAGTTGGCATGGGTACGTTACTGATAAATCAGATCTCGGAAAAGGAGGTGTTAGGAGATGAGAAAGATGATGTTATGGGATTTGGAGATGAAGATGAAATTTCGAAAGATAATAAGAGGAGGATTTGTCGTGTGTGTAAGAAAGTATTTGGTTCTGGTAAAGCATTAGGAGGTCACATGAGAATTCACGTTGAGTCTCGTTCTAAAAAGGAAAAATCAAAACCACGTGAAGAAGTGGATGTAGAAAATTGCAATAATGATGAGTTGGTACCAATTTGTAAAGTCTGTGGTAAGGTTTTTCCATCGATGAAATCGTTGTTTGGGCATATGAGATCTCATCCTGAACGGGAATGGAGAGGAATTCTTCCTCCTCATTTGAAATCTAACGATGTAAAAAAAGCGAAAAAAACAGCTTCTGTACCTGGATGGTCAGTTACAGCTAAGCGAGGGAGAAAGCCCAATGCTGAAGAAGAAGATGAACAATTGCAGGATGCTGTTCATCACCTTATGCTGCTCGCAAACGGAGATTCAATCGAGTCTGTTGTTACTGGACATGATCATACTCCTGAAGAAGAATTGGAGAAAACGAACAGTAATTCTCTTACTTCCAAAGCTGAAAATGAGGAATTTGTTTCTGAAGAATTGGATAGGAAGAAAAAGAAGAGGAAGTTGAGGCATCTGAATTCTGTACATGATAGTCCAGCTTCAGTTGCAGTTACAGCAACGCCTGAAAAATACGAGTGCAACACTTGTGGGAAAAGCTTCGCAACTCATCAAGCACTTGGTGGACATAAATCAAGTCACAATAAGTTGAGAATCGTAATCGAAAATTCCAACGATTCAATCATTGAAGAAGCAGCTGCTAGCAGCTCAAAGTTGTTGGGTGATAGCAAATTATCAACCACTGGAGGAAGAATTGCGGATTTTGATCTCAATGAATTGCCCTCTGATCATGACAATGAACTTGCTGGTAATCCTGATTACTTTCCCTTTTTTTCTATTTAACAATATTGAAGTCTTGAAGTTTGATCAATCGACTCCTCGGATGCTTTCTGCACCAGACTGTTATCGATAGTACATTAGTTTTAGTCTATATATCAGTTTAAATTTCTAATCATTGCAAAAATACTTAGTAATTAGCCATCTTGGTTACGTAGCTTGTGTTCTTTTTTCCTTGTTTAACATCCTTAGCTTAATTATGTGGTGTTTTGAAGTTGGGATTTGTTTGTTATTATCTTGATTGGAAGCATAATTGTCTAAACAAGCCTGCTGGAAAACACCAAATGTATATAAATATGCACAAGATTTCTTGGTTTATTAATTTAGTTTCGATTTCTCTCAGAATTGTTTTTGCTTGAATCGTCGATCTATAAAAAAACAACTCTCTTAAAGATCTGTTATAACTTCACTATCTCGGGTTTGTTATTATTATTGTTGATTTCTCCGTGACATATATTTAGGTTGTGTTTGAGGGCTACTTTCTCCATTTGCTGGCTTTTTACTTTACAATAGTTAATTTTGATTAATTTTTGAATGAAAAATTATTACTATAAGTTGCATTTTAATATGATAAGAAAACTGAATTTCAAAATTTTGGTCAAAATTCACGTAATTTGAAACTTCGAATCTTGGTAAATTAAAAGCCATATATAGTTTGGGTCGGAAGGGGAGGTAGATGTGGTGTGATTGCTTGATTTCTTTTTCAAAAATAACCTTTCTGTCTCCGTTGTAAATCAATACAGTTTATATGTTATTGTTGTTGTAGTATTTAATAAGACTAAAAAAATAATGAAATCTCGATAAATTTAGTCAAACTTTATCATTTATTCTGATTAGGAAGAAAGAGAAATTCAAGGACACATAGAAGACCAAAGGAAATCTTTAAACAATTGGACTCTAAACTTTGGTTGCAAGTATATAACTATAAAAAAGAATGTGTAAATCCTTTTAACAAATTACTCCTTTCATCTCAAATCACTAGTGACGTTTTCGATATTTTGAAATGTATTTTTTATTATATTAATATTTGAGAATTAATTTTTTTGAATCTAGAATTTATCAAAAATTTAAGGTCAGATAAATATTCATTTTTTTTAGCTTCACTCGTGGAATTAAATTGAATATGGTATTATCATATTGATATTATATCGGGTACAATAGTGTCATATTGATATAAGAAGAACCATATTATAATATTGATATTATCATATTGATGTTATATTATCATATTGATATTATATTGGGTATAATAGTATCATATTGATAAAAGAAGAATCACAATTTAAAATACTTTTCAGAAAGATTTTGAATATTTAACTTTTAAATTTCAAATATTAAATTAGTCAAATTAACTTATGATTTATAACTTATACTTCAAATATTAAATTAGTCAAATTAACTTATGATTTATAACTTATACTACAATATTTTTCATGTAGTTTTTGAATATTAGTCTGTCCAATATAATTTTTCAAAAATTAGTTAAATTAACTTTTGAAAAGAAATGATATTTTGAGAGGTAGGGAAGTATTGTGATGATTGAATTGATATATTAGTTAATTTGTAAGTGTTCAAACCGTAAGTCACGGCTTAGGAAGAGGAATAGAAGGTCTTGTAAGAAGAGACTATAAAGGAGAAAAACCAAAAACACACACACACTATATATATATATATATATATATATATATATAATGCAAAAATCATTTTTTGTTGATATATTTACCTACGTGGGATCAGAAATTAGATGTATCCAGTATTTACACTGATAAACTAAATATAACATTTTACCATAACTAGCTAACATTTTACCATAACTAGCTATTGTAGAAACTATAGTTTAGTTTATCATAGCAAAACTATATACATATATACTTTGATTTAGAACAAGAAACTATTTTTTACAAGTTGAAAAATACATTTACTTTTTTAAACCTAGGCTAAATTAATTCTTTTTATATTAATTAGCCATACACAAACAAATTACAAAAGCTTTTCATATGACACCTATAGAGAAAATGAAGATGGTGACTAATTTTCCTTTTCTGAAAGATTATAATTCTGAAACATTTAGGAGGGAATTAACGGTAAAAAATATATGGTAAAGGCAAGAAATAAGTATTATTAAGTCCCAACTGTTTACTGCCCACATTCTCGTGACCATAATATATATGAAAGCGTCATTCCAAAATTCCCCACTATTATTTTTACTTTATATATTCTCATCATCGCTTGGTATGAAGTATAAAAATTATATTGAATAACGTATGTTAGAAATAAAAAGCTTAGAAAAAGTTTTGTATTGTTAATATCATGATTTATTATTGATAAGAATACTGTTGAACAAGACGTACAAGTAAGATTATGTATTAGCTAGTTATACTATTGAAAACACGAGGTTTTAACCAAACTAAGTCATTATATAAAGTCATTCACCAAAATAATATGTTTTTCTAAATTTTTACAAAACTAGTATAAACGTATTTCACAGTAACGTTTTAGGATATATTTTATTTTTTAAAAGTTGATGGCGTCAGATTGATATACATTACTCACAGTAACGTTTTACTCCTAAAACGTTACTCACAGCAACGTTTTAGGTGTAAAACGTTACTGAAAATAACGTTTTAAAAGTAAAACGTTACTTACAGTAACATATATCAACCTAATGCTGTTAGTTTTTAAAAAATAAAATATATCCTAAAACGTTACCGTGAAATACGTTTATACTAGTTTTGTAAAAATTTAGAAAAATGTATTACTTTGGTAAATTGTTTTATATAATGACTTAGTTTGGTTAAAAATTCTGAAAACACTATCAAAAAAGGAATTCGATAATACCAGTATTATTTTCTCTAATATATCCTACCATACGGATCCCTACGCGAAGTGATGGAGCTATAATTTATATAGTCATCTTCTAAGATATTATTTTCAATTCATTTTTGAAGCAATGGGAACCAAGCAATCCGATTAGATCTATTTCAGTTGAAAGGCTCTCTGCCTCGTGGCATTATTGGAAACCATTCATCACAGCGAAATTTTTTGGATGCATAGTCGAATTCAAATGCAAAAGAAAACAGAGATAGTACTAGTAATTCTTTGGCACAAAACCACATGAATTTCACATAAAATCAGTTAACAAAAACACATATAGTAAATATATTTTTGTTTGATATTCAGCCAAAGAAACTGGGATCATATCCATTGCTAGAAGTAGCAAGGATATAATAAGCAACAATATGTCCAATAGATCCCCAAGCAAGCACATCAACAATATTGAATCCAACTGGATCATTTGATTTTAACAAACTTATATATTCCTTAGCCCTAACATCTCCAGCTTCAAAGTGAGAAATTCCATTCTGAGATGGCACCTGTTTCGCTACATTTTCTCTCTGGAAATTGAAGAAAACGAACCTTCCAAGGAAAAGCGAAAGCCCAGTGCTCAAACTGATGACAACGGATGGATTGAGTTCAGCTTTCACAGCGAGATTTCGGGGTTTTTTGGTGATAGGTTTGAAGGCGATGGGTTTGTTGAGGAAGAGGGAAGAGTCGGTGGGTTTGTTGAGAGGTCTGAGACCTTGGAAAGTTGGTGCAGAAAACAGAGCTGATGCCATTTTTTGAGTTTGTTGTTTGATGAAATGCAATGCAAATTTGGGTGTGTTGAGGAGTATATGTGGTTATTGGGGATTTCAGTAGGATTTGATTTGGAAATGAGTGAGGGGAAATGAGAGGAAGTAGATTTTTGGAGATGAGTTGGCTTTCATTTATTGGTTCTTTCTGGATTAGAGATCCTTGTAACTTCTAATCCAACCTTCTTTTTTTTTTCTTTCAAATACTGGCTAACATATTTCTAGATGAGTTTAAGTTATTTACATCGCAAATATAATGAATTTTTTTACATGATTAGATTTATTTTACTTATTTTTAATTTATGACATCTAGTTAAGGATTGAGGATCTCATATGTTTCATCCAAAAACGAACTCAGAATTTAAAGTTTATGCAATTCTTCGACAACCTTAAGTTGATATAATAATAATTGAATTTGGTCAAATATTTATAGATATGTATAGTAGATTTCTGAATTTATGTGAGTGTTTAACGAGTTTGGGTATGAATTTTTTTTTTTGAAACTTGTAGTCTGAAATTAATTATAAATAATTTTAGGATTAATGTACAAGTACCCCTTCAATCTATGCTCCAAATTTCACAAATCCTATTAACCCTGAACTTATTTTATAAGTAATTTTTTATCCCTTTTCGATCTACACACTATCTTGTGGGCCCAACGCTGGTTGACTTCTCTTTTCAAGCTAGTACCACGTAGGCCAAAAAATGGGTATAAAATTATTTATAAAATAATTTCAGGAGGTAATAGGACCTTAGTATAGTATAAGTGTGTCTCTGGGACTTCGAACATAGGTTTGAGGGGTACTTGTGCGTTATCGCTTTCAATAAAAATAAAATGAAATAATATTATTTTATTACTAAAAATATGTCATTACTTTTCACATCGATAAAAAGAAAAGAAAAAAGTGTAGCATAAAGTTGAGACCGATAGAGTACAACATTGGATGGTCAATCGCCGTTCACCACAAGTATTATAGGCAGTGGTTGAGCCGATATTTTTCCTACGAATGTTCATAATCTGAAGAATTTAACACACAAACTAGTTGAAGGGATGAACCCCAACTCCAGTGTGGCTCCGCCCCTGGCTTATAGCCACTTAGCTATGCAAATAAGAAACACCATGGGTTGTGTTGCACAAGTGAGAATGCTTCACCCTCACCCTTAACAAGAGGTCTTGAGTTTAGTTTTACCATAGATTTTTAACCGAAAATCATCTAGCTTTATGTACATCACTGCACTCTACTCTACATCTTCTGTGCTTACAATTTCTTATGCCTTCATATCATTGCATCATGGTATGAATAGTTGTGTCGTCGTCCAAACTCAAAGAGGCTACCAAATGTGCGATTCCTCACGCCAATGAAAAGGGACTCTGTATCGGGACTAAAAGACACTCCTGATATCTCACCGAAGAAATCAATTTCCTGCTCCACCTCATATCCACTTTTAACATCCAAAACATGCACAAAATCTGCAGACTCTACCATAGCCATAAATCTGCCATCAGACGTGTAGCTAATTGACCGAATAGCTCCAAGGTTGCCCGTCAAAACAGTGACTGACTTGGACAAGTTCCGACAATCCCATATTCTGCACGTTTTATCCTGGTTCCCAGTTGCAAAAGTTCGGCCATCAGGATGCCACGCTGATGCAAATGAGTAGTCCACATGTCCAGGCAAAATAGCAAGAGCCTGTAAAAATATGAATTTTGTTAGTTGACCACCCATCGACCTCTTATTATACTAATAATTCGCAGTGCAGTACGTCTGAGATGTGCAAACATACCATTCCATTCCTGGAGTCAATCAACATTCCATCCGGATCATCCCCAACTACTAGGAGAAGCCTACAATCAGGGCTGACTGATGTATGCTGTGACCATTAAAAAGGGAAAAGGATTTAGTTATTAATATCTGAAATATCAAGCGTACTATAAATGAAACAGGTTTAGGCATAGACTAGTCGAATACAGACTTACATTCACTGGCCAGGGTAAATGGAAATGGTTAAACAGTCGAAATGTCTCCATATCGAAATCTCTAACTCCACAATCATTATTTGAAGTGAAAAAATGAACTGCACCACTGCAATAGAAACATATATCTAATTTAGCTACCTCCTCACTAATAAAAGGAAGTATACCCTAATCGATCGAGAGAGATTCAAGCAATAGACAAGATGATGCAATACCTGACAGTGTTTTTAATTTCAATTGAATTGGTAATGGTATCATCATCATACGTTGGTTGAGAACAAAAGCAAACTCCAGGCTTATCTAAATACTGCACATAGTTTTAAAATATACACAAGCCTTTTCATGTTTAGCATATTTGACAGCAAAAGCTAAACATGTAAATTGACGAGGGCGGTAAGTTCTAAGAACATTCATGACAAACCTTGACGATAAGTTCTCCTTCTACTCCACCAGCAACAAGCAACTTATCTTTCACAGCGAGAGTGCTTACTTCGGTGTGTGTAAATCCCTCTGAATGGCTTTCAGGATGTTTCTAATAGAGAAAGAGAAAAAGGAAAGTCCTGATATAATCAAGCTAAGACTACAAATACATTAAGTGAGTTTGATGTACAAAAATACATACCTCACATGGTGCTACATGCCCTGATAAATCGAGAATTTCAGTTTTCACGCAGGTCAATGATGACCAATGCATGAGCGAAAAATGTGATAGCAGGTACACATCGTGCTTAGAAGTTGCTGAGATCATATTCCTCAGCTATGTCGAAAAAATTGAAAAAGGAATAGACAGGTTATTCTAAATGTCGTTCAATTTATTCTCTAAGAAATAGAAGAGTTGACAAAAGCTCTGAATTTACTTGAGTGTGAGAGAACGTTGGTATAACGGAACATGCATTATATCTGAAATTATAGTATAAACCGTCTTTCTTTGTGGTTTTGCTCTCCTGTTGACAAACAAAAGGGGAAAATGACACCAAATCAACATTGAACACAACATTTTTCATGAAAGTAACTAAAATACCTTATCTGGTGTTGCATCAGATGGAGGAATATTTTCATAGTTCTGGTATTCTGTTAGCCTTCTTTGTCTACGTCTCTCTCTGGTTACCGTAGCCCTTTCCCAGGGGATCCCTTGAATATCTCTTCCATTCCTCACGTCAGCAGCCGAAATATCTTTCATTGATCTATAAGTCTATTCCAGCAGAACAAGAAACAACTCAATAAAGTTCAAACATTTGAAGCAGATTCGTACTAAAACATGGATATGATACATCTAAGGCATGTACAAATGTAGCAATTAGATTTTCATAATGAATTAACAAACCATGTCTGTTTCATCCAAGTCATCTACATAAGATTCAACATCACTCAATTCTACGTCTAGGAAGTCATCTACATCCGAACCAAACCCATCCAAGTCTATGCATTGCCTTTCATTTACATCCGAATCAAAGCCATCCAAGTCTATGCCTTCAAACTCATCAATAAAATCATCTAGTTCTTCCATTTCATCATCTCCTTGTTGATGGGACATATTACACTTCAACGAAATGATCTTCAACACAAAATCATCAAAGTTAACTTTAACAACAACAACAATATATCCAGTGTATTCCTACATGTAGGGTCAGGTGAAGGTTGATTATACACAGACCTTACCTCCTACCTCATAGAGCTAGAGGTAAAACAAGCCATAACAAATAATAAAGAAAGTGTAACATACCATACAAAGCAGAATATGTGATAAACGAAGCACAAAAACTACGATAATAATGCTAATACTATCTATCTGCCAAGCCTACCCTGCACAAGAATGAGACAACACTCTAACTCCAACGGTATAAAACTAAATCAATTCAACAAATTTCAACGATTCGTATAAACAACAAATTACTTGTATACATAGGTGATCACAAGGTAAAATTAGTTATTTATCTGTTTATGTATAAATAAAAGGAAAAATGTACAAGTACCTTCTCAACCTATATCCGAAATTTCAGAGACACACTTATACTATATTGAGGTCCTATTACCCCTGAACTTATTTTATTTTATAAGTAATTTTCTGCCCCTTTTCGGCCTACGTGGCACTAGTTTGAAAAAAAAGTAAACCAACATTGGGCCCACAAGATACTGTCACGTAGGCTGAAAAGGGGTAGAAAATTATTAATAAAATAAGTTCAGTTGGGTAATAAGACCTTAGTATATTATAAGTGTGTCTCTGAGATTTCAGGCATAGGTTGAGGAGTAGTTGTGCATTATCCAACAAGTTCTCAAATCAATCTATTCGAGCCCTTGAAAGCTGTAGAATTTCATGTAAAAAGTTAAACCTCAAAAATGCACATAAAGTATTCTAGTTTATTAGATATGCAATTTTTCTATGTGAATTATAACCAACTTATCAACAATAATGATATCTAAGATATAATAAGTGAAACAAAACTGATAGCTTAGATAAAAAAAACTTTAACAACTATTAGTTCAGGTATAAAACTCGAAAAATTCAATTATTAGTTCAAGTATAAAACTCGAAAAATTCAATTATTTTAGATGAGTTTTTCCATCTTTCACTAAAAAAAAAAACAATAAAAAAGATAGAGGTAAAAGGATTATTAAATTTCTAACCTTGAGGGGTGTTTTTTTTTTTTGCCTGTTGATTACGATAGATTTGAAGAGGTCCAAAAAATTCAACTTATATACTGATTTTTTCTATGTTATTTCATTCATAAATCACAATGTTCGTTTGTCTGAGAATTTTTATATTTTTTTGGTTTCCTACATGGTTTAGTATTAGTATTTGCGCCATATAAAAGCTCTTGGTTTCCTACATTGTTTAGTATTAATATTTGCGCCATATTAAGTTATTAGGATATTTTTTCTTTATTTACAATTTACAAAATATAACGGAGATGGAATATACATTGTACACATAGATGATAGGCGTGCATTCGATTTTTTAATTTGATTCTGTATTGAGTTTTTAAATTTTTAATTTTGAAAAAGTGTAATTTAATATTTCAAATCAAAATAAATTTGGTTTTTTTCTTTTCAGTTTGGTATTTTAGTTTAGTTATGTTAATAATTGATAACATAATTATAGTTATATTTGCAATTTGAAGAAAAAAACTATATAGAAGGAGAAAGTAATGATACTTGCATGATCTCCAGTTACAAAGGGTCTATTGAGAAATCACTCAATACTACAAGTTTCAATTACGCGATTTAAACTTCGCAATCTCATATAAATATAATTATGAATTTGAAGTTTATGCAATTCTAACAACAATGCTCTCAGTTTTGTCGTTCAAATGACTGGAAATTGTCTAGCTTTCTATGCTTACAATTTCTTATGAAACATACAAATAGCACAACAATACAACAAATATAATCTGCTTGATTACTGGTGCAGCCTTTCATATCATTGTATCAAGATATGAATAGTTGTGTCGTCGTCTAAACTCAAGGAGGCCACTGTATGAGACACCTATGAAAAGGGACTCTGTATCGGGACTAAAAGACATTCCTGTTATCTCACCGAAGAAATCAATTTCTTGTTCCACCACATATCCACTTTTTACATCGAAAATGTGCACAAGATCTTCATACTCTGCCATAGCCATATATCTGCCATCAGACGTGTAGCGAATTGACATAATAGGTCCAAATGTATCGTTCAACACAGTGACTGACTTGGACAGGTTCCGGATATCCCATATTCTGCATGTGTTATCCTCATTCCCAGTTGCAAATGTTTGGCCATCAGGATGCCACGCTGATGCATACGAGGAGTCCACATGTCCAGACAGAGAAGAAACAACCTGTTAAAAATGGATTTTGTTAGTCAACCTCTTGTTATACTAATAATTCGCAGTGCAGTACATTTGAGATGTCCAAACATACCACTCCACTCCTGGAGTCAACCAACATTCCTTCGGGATCATCCCCAACTATAACGAGAAGGTTGCCATCAGGGCTGAGTGATGTGTGCTGAGAGCAGAAAAAGCGGAAAAGGATTTGGTAATATCACTGGAAGATCTTTGTATCAAGATAGGATAGATACTATTAGACTAGTGACTTACATTCACTGGCAAGTTAAATTGGAAATGGTTAGACAGTTGAAACGTCTCCACATCAAATTCCCTAACACCAGAATCATTGTAGGAAGCAATAAACTGAAGTGCACCACTGCATAGAAATAGATATCACATTTGGTTTCATCTTCACTAAGCAAAAAGAAATTATAACCTTATCGATCGAGAAAGTTTCAGGCAATAAGCAAGATGATGCAATACCTGGAACTGTTGTTAATCTCGATACAAGTGGTTATGGCATCATATGTTGGCCGAGCACACAAGCTAACTCCAGGTTTATCCAAATACTGCACATAAAGGAAGTCCTAAAACCAACTGTTTTTTTTTAATAAAAAAACTGTGTTTTTTTTAAATAAAAAAACAGTAGTAAGGATATTGACAAACCTTAACTATAAGTTCTCCTTGCAATCCACCGGCAAGTAGTAAATTATCTTTCACCGCTAGTGTGCTTACGAGGGTTACAGTAAATCCCTCTGGAAAGCTTTTAGGATGTTTCTAATAGAGAAGAGAAAAAGAAAAGATTGAAAAGGGTCCTAACCAATTTACGATAAGTGAGAATTTTACAAAAATACATACCTCGAGTGGTACTACATGCCCTGAGAAGTCGAGAATCTCTGTTTTCGTGCAGGTCAATGGTGACCAATGCACGGCAGAAAAAGCAGACAAGAGGTACACATCGTGCTTAGACGTTGCCCAGACCATATTCCTCAGCTATGTTGCAAAATTTGGAAATAGTAATAGATGAATTATTCAAAATGTTGTTCAACTTATTCTCTACATAACCTCCTAGTTTCCTGCACACATCTGAAACTTACCCGGAGATCAGAGAACGATGGTCTAATGGATCTTGCATACCATCTAAAATCGTATAAACAATCTTTCTTTATGGTTTTGTGCTCCTGTTGACATACAAAAGGGCAAAATGACACCAAATCCATATTAAACACAACATTTTCTTTTCTTCTAAACCATTTAGAAAGTAATTAACATACATGTTTGCATTACCTTATCTGATGTCTCACCAGATTGTTGAGTATATCTTCTACTGTTCCTACAGTATCGTAGTTTTCTTTGCCTAACTAGCTCCCTGGTAGGTCTCATATACCATGGGATTCCTTGATAATCTTTGGCACCACTCCTTACATCAGCAGCCGAAACATCTTCCATTCTATTATTCTATGTATTCCAGCTGAAGAAGAAACAACTCAATAGAGTTCAAACATTTGAAGCACATTCATACTAAAACGTGTTGTTTAATCCGTCTTACGAAAACATTTAGAATGATAATTCCCCTCAAGTATCTGAGATTAATAGTCATAACACTTCCTAAAAGAAAAAAAACCTCTATTTATAAACAGTAGAGTGAATAAACACCTATAGTGCTTCATCAGAAATGTCACAACACCCTGGAAAAGTCCAAAGTCATAACTCTTCATAAAAGTCACAATTTTACGAAAATGTCTCAACTTTTCAGAAAAAATCGCAACTCTTCAGTAAAGTCGCATCTTTTCATAATAGTCGCAGCTCTTAAAAAAATCGCAAAATTTTCATAATAGTCAGAACTCTTCATTCTTCATTCACACCTTTTAAACCTAACAAAACACGGATACGATACATCGATCTTAGGTATGTACAAACGCAACACTTAAATTTTCATGTCCTCTAAAGTCTAATCACCTCTTTCACTTACTTGTTCTACCTACCTCTAACCCTCTTCAAACCCACCCTTTCCAACCTCCCACACACCTCCTTCCTAGAACATCTACGCATCTCCTTTTCATATATTCAAATCATCTTATCCACCATAGAAGTCACTCGAGAATATAAAGGTCGCGAATTAACTACATTCCAGAAACATCTTAACATTAAATATCAAAGAACATCCATTTACAGAAAAGACACATTTAATTTTGACCACCTGTTCCAACATGGTTGCAAAAAGACCATGAAAAACACATAAGATTGTTCCAACAGTACTAATTAATTAATTCAACCAAAATTTAAATGTTTGTACAAACAACCAGATGAATGATATATAACATCAAAAGGTGAATTAACAGTCAAAACACATTAGTTTAGATGTGATTTTTCTATGTGAATCTTTGATTAATTTATCAACTACGTAAAAAGTAGACAGAGGTAAAAATGATTTCTGACCTTGAGGAGAAAATGTAGGTGATTGTTTTTTGCTTGATGGCGATAGGTTTGAGTAAGAGGCGGAGATAAATATAATAAACATATGTTCCCTTATATACTAAATATTCTTTATCTTATTACATTCTCAAATCACAATATCCATTTGTCTCTTTTTTTTTAAAAAAAAATTTATAATTTACAAAATACTATCTCTGTCCCTATTTAGTTGTTCACTTTAGAAATGATACACATATTAAGATAGCAATAATTAACATAGTGAAATTATAATTTTACCCTTATTAATTTTGGTTTCAAAAATGATGAACTAAAACTCGGAAATTTTCAAGAAGTTAAGAAGAAACAGCCTGGAAAAAATGGATTTTGTTAATTTGAATTTGAGATGTCCAAACATACCATTCCATTCCTGGCATCAACCAACATTCCTACGGGATCAGCCCCAACTACTACGAGAAGCCTGCCATCAGGGCTGAGTGATGTATGCTGAGAGCAGAAAAAGCGGAAAAGGATTTAGTAATATCACTGAAAGATCTTTGTATCAAGATAGGATAGATACTATAAACGAAAACAGGTTCATGCATAGACTAGTCGAATACAGACTTACATAAACTGGCCTGTTAAAATGGAAATAGTTGGACAGTTGAAACGTTTCCATATCAAATTCCCTAACTACAGAATCATCGTATGAAGCAATAAAATGAAGTGCACCACTGCATAGAAATAGATAGCGCATTTAGCTTCATCTTCACTAAGCAAAAAGAAATTATAACCTTATTGATCGAGAAAGTTTCAGGCACTAAGCAAGATGATGCAATACCTGGCACTGTTGTTAATCTCGATACAAGTGGTTTTGGCATCATATGTTGGCCGAGCACAAAAGCTAACTCCAGGTTTATCCAAATACTGCACATAAAGGAAGTCCTAAAACCAACTGTATTTTTTTATATAAAAAAAACAGTTGCAAGGATATTGACAAACCTTGACTATTAGTTCTCCTTGATATCCACCGGCAAGAAGCAACTTATCTTTTACCGCGAGTATGCTTACTACGGTTGCAGTTAATCCCTCTGGAGAGCTGTTAGGATGTTTCTAATAGAGAAGAGAAAAGAAAGGATTGAAAAAGGTCCAAACAAATTTACGATAAGTGAATTTGATGTTCAAAAATACATACCTCGATTGGTACTATATGCCCTGAGAAGTCGAGAATCTCTGTTTTCGTGCAGGTCAATGATGACCAATGCACGGCAGAAAAATTAGACATGAGGTACACATCGTTCTTAGACGTTGCCCAGACCATATTCCTCAGCTATATATGTTGCAAAATTTGGATGATTTAATTATTCCAAAATGTTATTCAATCTATTCTCTAAGTAAGCCTCCTAGCTAGTTTACTCCACACACAAATCACAACAAAGCTGTGAAACTTACCAGGAAGTTGGAGAACGATGGACTAATGGATCTTGCATACCATCTGAAACTGTATACACAATCTTTCTTAATGGTTTTGTGCTCCTGTTGACATACAAAGGGGCAAAATCACACCAAATCCATATTTTAACACAACTTCTAAACCATTTAGAAAGTAATTAAAATACAAGTTTGTATTACGTACCTTATCTGATTGAGGAACATTTTCTCTACAGTTCCTCATGTGGTATTGTAGTATTCTTTGCCTAACTTTCTCCCCGATAGTTTTCGTACGCCATTTCATTCCTTGAATATCTTTGGCGCCACTCCTTACATCAGCAGCCGAAACATCTTCCATTCTATTACTCTATCTATTCCAACAGAAAAAGAAACAACTCAGTACATTTGACGCACATTCATACTAAAACATGTTGTTTAATTCGTATTACAAAAATACTTAGAACGGTAACTTAGGAAATTTCCCCCCTAAAGTATCCGAGATTAATAGAATATATCCTCTTGCAGGATAGAATGATTTTACTCGTGTATTGGTACTTAAACCACGGTGAATAAACCACTCAACGATAGTAAAGTGCTGGATTTATTTGTGCAGAATAAGAAAAAGTTCAGAAAATTTATTGTTTGTTGTTTGAAATTAAGATAAAACCCTCAGTACCGTGAACAAATTATTATGGTGCCTTAGCGGAAAGGTCACAAAGCCCTCGAAAGTCAAAAGACACAACCAGAAAAGTTGCAAAATTTTCATAAAATCTTCATTCACACCTTTTAAACCTAACAAAACACGAATAAGATACATCGATATAAGGTGTGTACAAACACAACACTTAAATTTTCATGTCCTCTAAAGTCTAATCACCTCTTTCATTTACTTGTTCGACCTACCTCTTACCCTCTTTAAACCCACCCTTTCCAACCTCTCACACACCTCCTTCCTAGAACATCTACGCATCTCCTTTTCATATGTTCAAATCATCTTATCCACCATAGAAGTCACTCGAGAATATAAAGGTGGCGAATTAACTACATTTCAGAAACATCTTAACATTAAATATCAAAGAACATCCATTTACAGAAAAGACCATTTAATTTTGACCTCCTGTTACAACATGGTTGCAAAAAGACCATGAAAAACACATAAGATTGTTCCAACAGTAGTAATTAATTAATTCAACAAAAATTTAAAGGTTAGTACAAACAACCAGATGAATGATATATAACACCAAAAGGTAGTCAAAACACATAAGATTAGATGTGATTTTTTTGTGTGAATCTTTGATTAATTTATCAACTACGTAAAAAGTAAATATAGGTAAAAATGATTTCTGACTTAGGTGATTGTTTTTTGCTTGATGGTGATAGGTTTTTGTAAGAGGCGGAGAAAAATGTAATAAACATATGTTCCCTTATATACTAAATATTCTTTATCTTATTACATTCTCAAATCACAATGTCCATTTGTCTTCTTTTTTTTTTTTTCCCAATATTGTTTAAGTATTAGTATTTACGTCATATAAATTTCAGTGGAAAGTCTTTCTTAATGATAAATTAAATCACAATTCATATTTAAATTCACACCATATAAAGTTATTACAAATAATTTTCCTTATTATATATTACAAAATATATAGCGGATATGGAATATGCAATGTACCCTTAGATATGGATATATATGGAATATAATAGATATGAATATGATACTAGTATTCGCCATGTAAAGTTGATTCAAAAGTGCTTCACAATGATTAATCACGTAATAATTAAATTTGCGCTGTGTAAAGTCGTTAGAGATATTTTTTCTTATTTATAATTTATAAAAGAGAAATTGGCAAATTATTTTTTGGTGATTCGAAATGGTGAATTTGATTGTTTTTGTTTTAAACTTTTTACATAAGAATTGTTAGAAGTTTACAATAATGAATCTAGTGAAGATAGTGATAATGACTTGGCGACTTTGGTTCGATGAGAGATGGAAAGATTGGCATATGCTACCATGGAGAGAAAACATTCAATTTTAAAAAATAATGATTGAAAATGCATATATTTATGAAATAGTATAGTTGAATTAATTTTAATATTGTTTAGGCTACTGACTTTCTCAAAAAAAGTAAATTTTGTCACCTAAACATTTAGTGAAATATATAATAGACATCTAAAATGTATAGTTGAAAATTTGACTATAGATTTAATTGGGAGAGAGAGGGGGATTGTATCATATTTATTTTCACAAATTTAGAGATATTATTTTGAGATTAATTCTCACGAGTAATTCATTTCATTTTATCATTTTAAAATTTCTTAATCATTCTATATTTTTTTAATATAAATTAATCAAAATCTTCTACTTTACGCAAATATAATACAAACAAAAATATCCCTAGAATTGTATCTATCATAATATTTCTCTGAATCAGTTTGATTTAGAAAGGATCATGGACAATGAAATGTGGGATGCAAGCGGAAAATCTAATTGTTCTGGATTGATTTTTTATATTGTTATTTAAAATATTGGAAATTTATATAGTTATATAGTTTTCATATATATAAATTTATAAGTGAGGTTTTGTTTTTTTGAAAAAGTCTAACATAAATCTTCATCAATTTATAAAAGAAGAGGGAATAACACACAACTGACCTTCAACATGATTGCTTCCTTTTCTCATAAAAACAACTTGGCTTATTGACTAAAGTATTACTTTTTATGTTCAAGGTCTCAGTCTCGAACATATAAACTAATTTAATAATTGCTAAGTAAAAACACTTTATAAGCTGATTAATATAAATATAATTTATTAATTTATCAGGAGATTATCATTTAATATAAATCTAAAATTCTTAAAAATTGATAACATGATATAAAAAGAATGATCAAAAATCATTAAATCAATCGTTCATTAGCACGCCAAATGGATTTTTTTTAACTTTGGCGGAAGATAAAATATATATATCTGGCAGACGTATTATCCACGTGTTGCTCAAATCAGTGTGTGTTTGCAAACACGAGTTTCAGTTTCATGAAGAATGAGTGACTATTCAGCTAAAAACTGTTAGACCCTCTCCCATTTCATGACTGGAGCCGTGCCACAACAACCATGGCTATGTTGTTGCGCAAGGTATGGGAATCCGTATCTACTCGTTCCACTTCGAGCAATTCCACCTCAACTTCGATCTCGACTGTCAATTCCATGGATCGGTTCGACCAGATGATGATGTATATACAGACGGCGTCCACCGGAGAATTTGATCGGATTCCGTTAGATATTTTCATTCAAATTTTGAAGATTTTAGGGCCAAAAGAGTCTGCTAAGCTGACTTCTGTATGTAAATCCTGGAAATACATTGTTTCCGATAATCGCCTATGGATTTACTTTCTTCAGAATCACCATGAGCCTTGGGATTCTACTTTTTTCTCTGAAACTCACTTGAGATCTGGACCTCTTAGGTAAATTCCTTTTTACAGTTCTGCTTTTTGAATGTCAAATTAGGTGAACTTTCCAATTGGTTTAATGTAATTTAGCTGAACTAATTTGGGACGGAGGGAGTAGTAGATGAAAGAGTGAAGTATAGATGAGGATATCATGAGTAGCTGGTTTGATAAGGTGTATGATTTGTAGGACGTTTCCAAATTCAGTACCAGAATTGTCATTCATGAGTATTTATGGTCAACGTGCTCAAGTGCCCGGTGCTATTATTATTGATGGTGCGTGCCTTTCTATGTGTTACACTCGATCTTTTAGTTGGCATACTGCTCTAGTTGTTTTTTTTAACTGATTCGAGGATAAATTCTAATGAAACAGAGTATTATGTGAACAGTACAAAGAGAAATGATTTCTTTGAGCTTATTTATCTTTCTGATTTTTCTCACTAAAAGGTGGGTCTGGCTATTGCAAATTTGGTTGGAGTAAGTATAGTGCTCCGTCAGGGAGATCAGCGACATTTTTGGTGAGCTTTCTTATGAGTTAACAGTTGTAGTTGTTAATTTGTGAAAATCACTTGCATTTTTGACTATTTGAGGCTTTTTTTGTTGTTTTAACTACTTGTATTGTTCCATGTGCTCGGCAAATTCTCACCCTAATCCTTCCTGAAAAATTGTACCATTGACAGGAGTTTGGCAACATTGAATCTCCAATGTATTCTAGATTGAGACACTTCTTTTCAACGATATACACCAGGTTTGTGTTCCGTTCATTTTTGGTGTCATTTTACATTGGTCCCATATGACAACATCCACCTAAACCAACATCCATTGTTGAGCAATCTAAACAGGTTTTTGGTTCTCAAACATAATTTGATTTTCATAAAATGCTTTTTAACACCATATAACAGGCCTCTACGATATTTTTTACATTATTAATTGATTGTAATACGGACATTTGGTTGGCAAAGAAGAATCTGCATCAAAGTTTTATCTATGAAAGGACTCTCTGTATCATTATGTTGTCAATGTGGCACATATCCTGATTGTTTATCATATAATTCACTAATAAGATTTCCTCTATTCATATAATAAATCACCAGTTTTACCCACTTAAGAGAGCAAAAGGTATAAAGGGCTGGAATCACAATGACTTCCAGAATTTGACTAAAACACCTCGCATCTTTTTTAGAGTACTACCGTATAGCTCCCTACAAACCAGAACTAGAAGATAAGATATGAGCTTGTTCCTTAGACCCAAGGTTGCTGGAATCCTTTTATAAATTTCTCTCTTCTGCTGTTATGGATTCTTTGCAGGATGCAGGTGAAAACTTCAACACAGCCGATCATTGTGTCCATTCCGATTTGCCATTATGATGGTCAGTTTCTATTTGGGCGTTGCTGAAAATCCAGTCAAATTTCTGTAAATATAACGTATCAACGACTCAATTTGTTGTTTAGAGGGCAAATATTATTTCACAATATATGCATGTGTCCATTTTTACTTGATGAATCAGCTCATGCAACTCTATTTTTGAACATTCTTCCATTTGACTTTTGAGCAAGAGGGTAAGGTGCTAAAAGGTTTGAATAGTTATCTCACTCAATTAAATCTTCAACTACTAAGAAGTGAGCATAGTAAGATCTTTTCAGTGCACCAAACCAAGGCCTTCCTTTTTCTTTCTAACTTCTCTTTACCTATACAGATACTGAATCTGATAAAGCAGCTAGAACGCAGTTAAAAGACGCGATCCATTCTGCATTATTTGACATGAATGTTCCTGCTGTTTGTGCTGTCAACCAGGTAGTACTTATTCATTTCCTTCAACTTATGTTGGATTCCCGGAGGTGATTAAAGTTGTTAGTTTTGATAATCTTGGTTGTTCTTTTAAAAGTTCTAAGCTCGTAGCAAAACTTTGTTAGATAACAATCTTGGTTGTACTCTTAGAAGTTCTAAGCTCATAGAAGAACTTTGTTAGATTGAGGAAGAAAAAACATTTATGTCATTGTTGAGCGACATTTATGAACATGTTACATATAAAGCAGAATCTGTCCTTTCATAAGCTAGTGTACATCTACAGATAAGCTTTTCTTTCACAGTTATCGTGTGCCTTTCCTTAGTCAGGCATTCACTTGCTTGTTGTTGTGGCATGTCCTGGTCCTTAGGTTTATTGGATTTTATCTTCTTGCCTTAGCATTGGGCCACTTAGGGCTGCTACCACCAATTTAATACATACCCATGTACCCTCATCCTAATATATTTGACTTCTTTTGTTAATTACAGTAGTTTTCCATCCCTGAAAATGTTAATTAACATAAAATAACAGTACATATTTCTCTTATTTAATGGTCATGGACTGTTTTCAGTCAAATAGCCCCACTTCTCACTTTCCACTAATAATATCTTAAACATATTTGACTAACTAATGAAGTACTTGATGCTTTATACTGTTAATGGCAAAAACTAAACATTAATAACATGGGGAGAGAAAATGATCAAAATGTCACTAACTTGGCAAACTTTTCCTGTTCTCTTTCTAAGATTGTATTATACATTACCACGATTCTTCCAAAGTTTTAGACATAATCTGATTTTGGATTTATAATAGTATTATGATGTCTTTCTTTCAAAAACTATAGGCTGTTTTAGCTTTATTTGCTGCAAGGAAAGTTTCAGGAATAGTAGTCAACATTGGGTTTAACCAGACATCTATTGTTCCAAGTAAGTTTTTTATTCATGTACTGGACTTATGGTTCTTGTTTGACTTTATTGTATACTTGTTTTTGTAGAACTCATTCATTTTTAATTCTTTGAACTGTGAAAGTTTTTTTTTTGTTTTTTGAGTTGCTAGTAGGATATTTAGAAACTGAGTTTGTATTCTCCAGCTTTCTGAGTTAATCAGCGGTGACCAGACAACCCCTGAGATGAATCACAGATGGGTTCCAATGTTTCTTGTTAAACTAATTTCATCTTACATTTGCTTTACTCCTTTTAAATTACCTTATCAAAAAGAAAGTTTGTGCTCTCTAATTGTTTATTCTTTCTGATGATTTAATTTACTCTTAAATTTCTTCATGAACAACGTACATGGATTGCATGTTTTTATTTCTCTTCGTGTCTGCAATTTGATTGCATTGTTTCAATAATTTATGTGTAGCCACTTTTTGGTCTTTTACAGTTCTCTACGGTAAAGTCATGCACCAAGTAGGTGTGGAAGTTGTGGGAATTGGAGCATTGAAGCTTACAGGATTCCTTAAGGAGCAGATGCAACAGAAGAATATTTATTTTGGGTCACTTTACACTGTGCGGACTCTGAAAGAGGTATCAACTTTCTGTCATAGAACATTTAGGGTGGGAAGGAAGCGGGTTTCACTTAGACATGATTCTTTGCACTATTTCTACCTTGCAAGTGAAAAGTTACTGAATCACTTCAAAAATATGCCGTGGTAACATTTTTGTTACTGGAAACCATTTCGTTGTACATAAAATTTTGAATTGCCGCGTCCCTCTACTGCCACATCTAGATACTAACAATCTTGAGAAGTGCTTGGTCAGATAATCATAGCTCCAGCACTACTGCATATGCACTAGCTGCTGATAACCTCAATAAACCATTAAATGCATATCTTAGTTGTGTGAGTTCTTTGTGACTTTCTTCTTGACTACACATTGTCGAATTACAATAATCTGTAAAGTTTGCAAAGTAATTTAAGTTCTAAGTTTTCCAGAAATTTATGGTATCTGAAGAGGAAAATGTGATGAACAAATTTAAGAGTTATTGCAGATCTTCTGCTTCACTTTTTCACTATATTTTGTTTATTTAAAAATAAAGATGTTATTAGTGTACAATTTCTCTGTTATTTTTATCTTAGTAACATAAATCATGTTAGATTCAGTTAGTTTTGATCCTGTGACAAACATAGACTTGAAAAGCCTAGCTGCATGAGAGTTACGGTTACTTTTAATTTCTTAGTGATGTTTTCGAGTATTTTCTGAGGTCCATTTGGTCCGTATTGCAGAACCTTTGTTATATTGCACTTGATTATGAAGCTGAACTATCCAAAGATACCAACGCATCTTTTCAGATCGGGTCTGAAGGTTGCTTTACACTTTCAGAAGAGCGCTTTAAAACAGGAGAGATTTTGTTCCAGCCTCGCATTGCAGGAGTGTACGTTCATATTACCTTATTTGGACTTTTAGTAAGACTATTGAACAACTCCAGTTTCAATTACTTCCCTTAGGGCATAAAGGCCTTTTAAAAAACTGGAGTAGATCCTGCACATGACAAAGTGAATTTGGACTATGTAGTCAATTGGAACCTTGTTGCATCAGGTCTTTCCTGAAACTTATTTTCTTAAATGCGAATGGAGAGACAGATTTGTACTCAGGGCGGGTGGGGGCAGTTCTAGACATCGTATTCTCATTTTGAGTCTACACTCTACTATGGTCAACTGATGATGCCGGTTTCTTGACTTATATCATTTAGACAAAGTGGTGTTTTTGTGGATGCAACTGGTGAAACACAACTGACCCCCACCCCCCAATTACCTCAAAAAAGAACAAGGATCTGTAGTATGGAAAATTAGTAGATTTGCGGTCTTGTTTCAGGCGTGCTATGGGTTTACAGAATGCTGTGGCGCTGTGCATGGAGCACTGCCATGACGCTGAATTAATGGTTGATGATAGCTGGTACAAAACAGTAGTTTTGGCTGGGGGAAGTGCATGTTTGCCTGGATTAGCAGGTGAATTGCAACTGATGCTCTTTTTCCCTAGATAATGTATCTGATGGAATCATGTGTTTGTACATGTTCTTCTAATTTAGGAAAGTAAAGATGAGAAAGTGTTAATAGACGAAATAAAGAAGAAATGCTATCTTCAAGGGAAGTACTGATTTTTTTTATTATGAACATTGCAGAAAGATTAGAGAAGGAAGTGTGTGAACTTCTTCCTCCATGCATGAGTAATGGAATCAGAGTACTTCCTCCCCCATATGGCGTAGATTCTGCTTGGTATGGGGCTAAGCTGATTGGCAATGTAAGCTACCTTGCTCAACATAATTTGTTGCAGTAGTTTTACTCTCTTACTCATGCTTATTGGCAATCTTGACTTTGACATGGTTCCTTGAATTGAAAACTTAGTTAATTCCGGTAAAAATCGTATATTAAATTTGCATTTTAAAAGGTAAGAGTTACTCTACCTGCTTAGGTGAACATGCCAATTCTTTCGATTGCCTCTTGGTTAGTTGTTTTTTTGTTCTTAAGAAGTTCTGTATGATTTGACTATGATCTCTTCTTTTGAGGGGATTGGTGTGGAAAAAATGTGTAATTATCATCAAAGTGACAATTAGCATGTACTTGATCATGAATATTTTGTTCTTGCTGTCATTGAACTTTTTATCATATACCTGATTATGATACAAATTCTTTGTCTGTTTACTACAGTTGAGCACCTTCCCCAGTTCCTGGTGTGTGATGAAAAAGCAATTTCGTCATAGGTCGAGACGCAAGTTTATGTGGTGATTACTGTTGCAGTGGCACTGCAGGTGGTATTGCCAAAGATCAAGAGTTTTGATGTGCCTCGTGGCTGAAGATCAACTATTGCATCAATGATTAGATCATTTGTTAAAGATATAAATATAAGGCTATTTATACATCAAGTGTAAGACTAATTTATGTCGTTCAGTCATGCGGATCTGCTAAGCATATGATGTACAAAATCTTAGATTATTGAGGTAGTTCCAAATGGAGTGAATATCTGTAAGTTGGACTTCTAGACTTATAATAAAGGAGCACCTTTTTCAGGTTATGTGTTAATACAAGTGCTCGTCACTGGTTAGAGAGTTGTAGAACTGCTAATGTTCGCATTCAGCTACGTTTTCTCAGAGTCAAATGTATCAGCAAGCTGGTAATATTTTGCATTTGCAGTAGCTTTTGCCCTTATTGTTGTGCTTAAGTTGTTTAACCTGGTAGTGTCTTCAAATGAGTTCACCAGATTTGTTGATCTGCTATCCTCCTAATGTCTCATAGACATCTTGAGCTTTGTCATTCGCGATATCACTGACCATGAACTCATGATCAACCCCATCCACCTGAATATTGCTCAAGCCACATCTAGTTTCCAAGATCTTATCATTCAGCAACTTTCTAATCTCGTGATCTTCTCCATTATTAGCGAACAAAGACGCTGCTAGTTTATATCGATCAGGTGAGGGTTCCAAATTGATTAGTCGCTTGAATAGGTGCCTCCCTCTTTCAACATCGTTATGGATTCTACAAGCATTAAACAATGCACCCAATATGACCGAGTTAGGTTCTTCTGGCATCGACAAAATGAGCTGTTCTGCTTCTGCAAGCCTCCCTGCTCGGCCAAGAAGATCCACCATGCATCCAAAATGCTCAATGGATGGTCTTATTCCAAACTGATGTACCATTTGATCGAAATAGTGACATCCCTCTTCGACGAGCCCAGCATGAGAACAGGCAGAGAGTATAGCTACAAATACAACTCCATTTGGCTCAACTCCTGACTCTATCATCTTATCAAACAATTGGAAGCATAACTTGGCTTGTCCATGTGTTGCAAAACTCGAAAGGATCACTCCCCAAGTTACAACATCTCTCCGAGGCATCTTCTCGAACAGCTGGTAACTAAACTCAATGCACCCACACTTAGCATACATGTCAACTAAAGCAGTACCAAGATTGACACTCATTACAGTTTCCCTCTTGTTTATGATATACTTGTGTAACCATCTTCCTTGATCCAAAGCTCCCAACTCTCCACAGGATGATAGAGTGCACACAAGTGAAGCTTCATTCAATGGAACATTATAACTCATCATTTTCTGAAATGTGGCAAGCGCGTCTTCATGCATACCATTCTTAACGTACCCTGATAACATCACACTCCAAGTTGCTGTATCCTTATTTCCCATTGTATCGAAGATCTCAATGGCCTCTTCTACCAGACCCTCATTCATATAGCCGGTAATCATGGAGTTAAAGGGGCAAATGACATTATTAGGCTCTGAGAATTCATCAAGAACTTGTCTTGCAGATGCCATATCACCAGCACAGGAGTACATAGAGATTAAAGAGCTACAAATATGGGTATTTGGTTTTATTCCCTTCTTCATTATTTGTGCATGAACTGTTTTACCTTCAAGAACAGCTTTCATATGGGAACAAGCTTTGAGAACAAAAGTATATGTATGACTATCCGGTGATAGTCCATCTGTTACTAATCGTTCATACAAAAACAACGACTCTATAGGGCGTTTGCTAAGAATCAGTCCCCTGATCATAACATTATAAGCAAATGTATCAGGTGATTGAATTGATGAGTTGAAGACTAACAATGCATCATCAGTTTCAGACACTCCAACATAGGATTCTACGAGCTTTGCTCCATTTGGAAAACGATGAATTAATCCATTGAGAATCAGTTGGCCATGTAATTGCTTGACTTCCTTCTTTTCACGACACATTTGGAGCAACAGAACACTGCTGGGAATTTCATTCCTCTTTCCGCGTTGCAATTCTGTCAAGTTCTGCAATGGTGCACGAGCGCTTGTTGAAGCAGCAGTCATTTATTGTAAGTTGTAACTTGTTAAAATTTTCCAGTTGTGTTTATCTTTTTCATTTCCTGAGGAATAGAATACATACACCTTGAATTGGCTTATATGTTATATCTTGTATCCTCAACCACAGAAGCCTTGTCCAAACAAACAAAATGACAGCAAATATGAATACAATTTGTATACTATAGTAGATATACTATATTAATTAAATATAATAGTCCAAGATAGGAGTAATGTATACATAAACGCTATCCGTTTAGATAGCAGGTATCTATACCACTAGATGGTTGCAAAACTTTATATCTACCTACTATATTCATGCACACACACCAAATATCACATTGTCAACACATGATTTACTACCAAAAAATGTTAGTGGGGATGCAGATACTCTTTGATCAAAGTTCATTATGATGGACAAACTGCTAATGTCAATAATCAGCACCTGAACACATCCTAATCGTCCCTGTTCCACAGGGATTTCAACAAGGAAGAACAAAAAGAAAAACATTTACTATCGTTCATGCTCAAAATACAACAAAGTGAAATAATATTTAACAGATCCTTGGTTTAGCAAGGAGAGTCATTTTCAATACACAAGTATCAACAGTTTGCTGTTGTAATATATCAAGAATTACAAGAGGAGGAGTTTCTTGTTGATCGTTAATCAGTGGTAACATGGTAGAAGAAAATCCGGAGTTCAAACAATATTTGACAATAAAGAATACAGAAACTACGCCAAAACCTTGAAGAGATCTTCAGAGAAGCAACAAGAAGAAGCCCGTAAGAGCTGTTGCAATCATCAGGATCGGTGATAGTCTACAGCTCATATGACTATTATTAGCACTGGCAGATTCGGATGATGCAGAATCAGGACATGGTAGCCCATTTTTGTCTTTATTGCACTCACTGGCGAAAAGACCAGGTGGGTACTTCCCGTGAAGGTTAATGTAGCTGAACATGGTAGAGGCACAATCAGTTGTCAAATCATTCACGAATTCTGAATAGGGACACGCAAACTCCGCAAGGGCTTCACAACATTGTTTGGCTGGGTATTTTGGTCCTTTGCATTGGGTAGTGACCACTGTGTAGTTTTGAAACTCGAAGCTGATAGGACAAGCTGCATAAATATTGAAGCAAAGCATTCTTCAGCAAGCATTTCAAGCTCTCAGGGTAAAAAATTTAAGCAAACAGAAATCTTCTAGGTCATTGTAAAGTGATCATCATCAGTGAGTTACAAACATGCAACAACTATGTGCATCTCACAATAGCAAATAAACAAGTCATCAAGCAACTCGGTGTCAAATTCCCCTAATTAACGAAAACTTCCCTGTTTTAGGTACATCAATGTTTTCAAATTGCTTGATGGAGGAAAAGAAGATTAAATTGCTTTAAGTCACCACACATGTGGCAACATATGAATTCTGAGAATAAGCAGAACTTGATGAACTATGGTCTTTCGTGTTTTCCTTGATTTGACTCATCTCAAGTTTAAAAATATCCAGTACCATCTTAAACATTATCCTCATCAACGAGCTCTGTTTGCATATTTCAACTCATATAATAGGTAGTCCTAGATACCAATTCAATCACACAGTAGTTAAATACCCACCTAAGCTGCAAAACTCGATAATGTACTTCACATTTATACCATTCCTTTCCATTTTCCATCAGTGGATGAACAAAGCATACAAGAAGATCCACGGCCCAGAAAACAAAGTTATCATTCATATCAAGCACTATCCTATAGCTTCGTACGTAGCTGAGTATCATCAAACAGACACTCCTGGCCACAGTATCAACAAAACAAACTGGAAGAAACATCTCTACCAAATCTATGCAGAACTTCAGAATGCGAAATACGCAGCAGATTGCAGCACATCGTACTGCTTACTGAACTTTGCACAGAGCACTAAAAATCACTTGGCAAAACTATCACATGCTATCAACTACAAAATTATATGGAAATGTCACAAGTTGCTCAATTTAAACATTTCATAATCCTAAAAAAGTTTGGTTTTGTCCTTGTATTTGCAATAACCTACTAACCATAATTACAGGATAACACAACTAGTGCATGTTTCTTAAAAACTTCTTCCTTATTAGAAAGACACTCAAGCATGTTAAAACATAACCTGACTGTAAGAACATAACCAAGACATAATAGCAAAGAAAACAGCAACAAATAATTCACTGTAATCCCACAAGCGAGGTTGGTTTGTGAGGATAGAGCGTACACAAACCTTACCTCTACCCCTAACTTGAGAAAGGTAGAGAGGCTGTTTCCGGCTACACCCTCAGACTCAATGAATGATAAAAAAAGAGGCAGTAGAAACAACATCAAGAGAATAAGATAATCGAGGCTAAAGGAACAACATGTAACAACAGAAATCGAAAAATAATGAAAAACAAGAACAATGATAATGCATAAAGATAAACCAAAAAAGCGCCATCTTCAACTGCAAAAGGGTTCCTCTCACCTCACCTCAAACGTAAGGCAAAATGACACATCCAGATCCCAGAAAACAGAAACAGAAGAAAAGAGGCTGAATTACAAGATCACCCAACAGCTATTTCAGAAATTTAGTTTCAATTTCAACAAGATATATACCTAAAGAACAAACCCCACTTCACAGATCTTTAGTCAAACCATTCAGCTACAGTAGAACTTAACAAAATACACAAATCTAGCTCCAAAGACCACCAAACAAAACCAAAAATGATGATCAAGAGCTTACGTTTCTTGGCTTGAAGTAGATTCCTCCCAGTTAAACCTTCATTAACAAAAATCCCATCTGCATAACAAAATATAAAATATGTAAGAACATTCATAGCAGAAACCAAATTGGGAAAAACAAAAACAGTACAAAAAACACAAACCTGATAAATAAGCTGAAGCTGAAGCTGAAATGAAGAAAGAAAACAGTAGAAAAATACAAGAAAAACAATATCTGCACCCCATTATAGCAAAATGAGCTAAAATATCAGAATATAAAAGCTAAAAGATGAGTTCTTGGAAGAAGATTTCAACAAAGAACCAGAAAAAAAGTGATCTTTGAGAAAAAAACAGAAATAGAAAGAGATCTATCTGTTCTCTTTCCCTTTGAACAAAGGTTATCTCTGTTCTTGCCAGCTAATTGTTTACAGTAAGTTTGAGTTCATATTGGAAATAGAAAATAGAAAATATTTTGAGTTTAATAACGACATAAAATTATTAAAAGCATATAATAAGAA